GCTTTTTTTCTTCTTCCTCTTTTGACGCGTTCGTTTAGTGCAGCACGGCAATTAAGGGCGGATGCGCGACTGCGCTTAAGCGTTTTTATTATTGTCGGAATACTCGCTGCATGCGGTGTACATTCAAACGGGCAATTTCCTTGCGTGAATGCAACGGTCGGCGGGTCTTTTTTACATCATTGGCCGCTAAAGGTTTTTCATTTTTAAGACGTTACGGAGTGTCCCTGGAATTTTTAATACTGCCTCGCATGACAATAGGAAAGTTTCTTCGGATAAGCGAAACGATAAGACTTTTTGTTTCTTTGAATTAACTTTATGACAGTTGCTGAAATTCAGAAAATAGTATATACGTATGCGCTATCCCTTATAATGCACCTCGAGAAATTTAAAATTCTTTAACAATGCGCACATAATATTTTCACAGAACGAAATCGAAAATAGTTAAAAAGAATGTGAAATTTTTGTTATGTTTGTAAGAGGAACTTGGGACAAATATTATTCCAGACAGCTATTCCAATGAACTTTAAACCCAAAACTTATATTTTTCAAACAATATTTAACATTAAAATACATACAAATTGTTATGATAATTATTGAGAGAAAATAAAAAATGCAAACAACGTGTTTATAAATACGCGCATGTGCATTATTATATATTCTCGTTTGTTATTTTTCATTGCAATAATTCTTTCGACAAATGAGACTTTGTATTTGCAAACATTACTGCATTTGTGTAATTTATTATATAAAAATTCTTGTACATAAGTGTAATATTTTTTAAATCCTTATAAATCCCTGTGTGAATTACATTTTCTTTTATCAGAAATAAAATCTTACATTATCCTATATAATAACTGCCCGTTCCTATAAAGTAGAAACTCGGCTTCTTCTATACGACACTTTAATCCCTTTGAAATAATTTAAAACTTTGGCCATTTCGCTCTCATACGTGATTCCAGGCATACAATACATACAATTACATTTCGAATAAACGAACGCGAGTAAAGAAAATAATCATAAGAAAATACAACCGTCTTTTCATATCGAAGATATTGCATTAATGCGAGGGGAGCGGAGGGGAGGAGGGAAATAGAAAAGTCCATTACCAATGCTTTTGGAGGCGCGCGCTCATCCAAGATTTCGTATTCAAGTTACAGAAGAGCTTAAAGGGTCGATTGGGTGGACTTTTTTATCGTTATTATACTTATTATACGCGCCACTTAGAATCTAGCAATTCGCAATTGGCTATGCTCTTTCAACATTAACCTGAAAGCTCAGAAAAATACCAGTAATTATTCAAGGCAGAAGAGAGAAAGTTTTGCTCTTTCATGCTTACAGACGCCCCGTGTCATCGTCCTAGTCAAAGCAGTCATCTATCCGGCCATCTATGAGTTGCCGCCTCCTCTATTTCGCCGACTCTTTTTCATCCTTCTTTCACCCTTGGACTTCATCATTTCATTCCATCTTTGTTCACTCGAAGCTGCTACTCGCCCATTTCTGTCTATTTCCCTATTTATTCCCATTCTCCCTACCCTCTACGTTTGCTTTCCTTCATTGCGTGCTTGTCTCCGCTCTCTCTCTCTCTCTCTCTCTCTCTCTCTCTCTCTCGTATCCCGCCTCCTACCTCGCCTCTCGCTTATTTACCCGTCGCTCAATAGTACAGTCAATATAAGCGTCGGATTTATATTTACGGGAACGACAGAAGTCATGCCGACGTCGTCCGCTCTCTTGTAATTAACGAGATATCGATCACGTCGACTGTCCGTGTGAGAACGCGAACTGGTATCGCGCGCCGATTAAACGTCCCCCTTTCGGCATTATAAATGGGGAGGGGAGGAGGTCTGCGGATTGGAGTATCGGACGGCTTTTTGTGCGACGCGATATGCTGGAAATGGGGATGAGGCGATGGAGCTCCGGAGAATGGAACGAGCGAAAATACTGAGCGGAAAGAATAGGGAATGGGAGAAGGAGGGAGAGAAAGCCGCGCGACGAGTTGGCCTGGATCGATATAATTCTTGCTCCTTTTTCGAAGGTGGAATATGTTGTAGGGATAGTGTTGCAGGAGTAATGGCGAACCACGTACATAATCGTGGAAAGAATGTCTTCGTCCCCTTGATTGGGGAAGGAGGGAGGACGGCGAGCTCGACCAAAGTTACCGAGTCGACAGTATAAGGATCTTCGTCTTGTTTTTTTTCACTTCGCTTTAAAGCAGTTGAAATTTTTCCTTAATTTTACATTCCCCGCATTTTTATCATCACTTTAATTTTAATTCCTCCAATGTCCTTTCAATACCAATTTCATACTCACTGGCTATGTATTTATTTAAGCGACTTTTGTACATCGAGATTCTAGCGAACATTTATTTAATTTATACGAAATTAGCTTATAAATGATAATAATAATATGTACGTTAATTTATTTAATGGACTATTCAATGTCAAGATTATATTGAATTAGATGAAATGATAATTTTAAATCGCAATTCGTTCATGTTTATCGATATTGTTCGCATTTGCCAATATGTTGTCAGTGACGTGTGTTTAGAATTTCTTTACTAAACGATTTTTATACACTAGAAACTTATCTCGCCATTGAACTTGAAATGTCTAGTGATTTAGATAAAGTCTTTAACATGATATATTTGGGAAGATAGATAAAAATGAAATACCGATAGGAAGTATATGAATATAAAAAAAAAAAAAAAAAAAAAAAAAACAAGTTTTTAAATGTCTACATTACTGCGTAAAAATGCTTATGAAAATATACCACATTTTATTATAGCATTTCGTAAAGTTTAAAAGATTAATTAGGGTAATAACTTTAAAAATATTTTTAAAATTAATTACTTTTCACTACGGTTATAACTTTTATAGTTTTTTTATAGTTATTTAACACGACAATCGTACGGAAGTACGAATTTATATAAAGACATCAAACTAATTAGAACATTTCTTTTATTTTTACATCCTATATATTTATTCACTTTTCCAGAAAAGTTATTTTTTATATTCGCTCGCATTCATTGGCAAACGATATAGTTGAAAGTTCTGTAATTAAACAAGCTTCTTATGTAATAAAAATTTTATGAATAATCTTAATTATCATATTCTGAAATAAAATTCGTTATCATTAATTGGGCAAAAAATGATTATTATTACTTATAGGATTGAATTTAAAATCGATTATAAATAATTTGTATTATATTTTATATTTTATATTTTATATTTATATCATTTTTATAATAAATACAAGTTTTTAACAATTTTAGTAATATATTTTGAATCCGTTCAAATGTGAACTATTATTTTAAAGGTTTGAAATTATATCGCGAAGATAAAATTTAATGTTCTTTTTTATTTCAATTTACTTTAATGATTTATTATAAAGTATATTATTTAATTTTCCTTACATGATTGACGTTCGTACGTATAATTATTAAAATTGAATTACGTAAAGTTGAAAATTACGCAAAATCGAAGTAAAAAAATGCATCTTTGAAAAATAACTTGACTTTAAAAGCAACGATCAAAGAAATCTTTTGTAATTTGTGATATTTATATTTTTGCACTTTATTTGGCGTACTTTTTCGAAACATTGAGGTTGCGTAGCAGAAAAGAAACTCAGACAAAGAAAAAGTCAATAAGAAGAATTTCAGGAACAAAAAGAGGAGAAAAAAATGTAAGAAGAGAGAGCGAGAGCGAGAGAGAGAGAGAGAGAGTGAGAGAGAGAGAGAGACTGACACGGGGCAGAGACGGTATGCGTACGGGCGCTCGCGCGAGTACGCGTCCACGTGGTGTGAGAAGGGAAGAGAATGTTAGTGAGAGCGTGAAGCGGAAAGGAGAGAGAGAGAGAGAGAGAGAGAGAGAGAGAGAGAGAGAGAGAGAAATACTTGATAGACCGCAGACTTGTCTGGCGTCTGGGCGCGGGAAAAACCTATAAAGGAAGTACCACACAAGGGTTAACGCATTTAATGCATATGTATTAAACGATTTGTGTGGACTCGACGGCTTTTTTGTGAATACGTGTCTGTCCGACAGTGGCTTATAAACTTTAATATATTTTAAAACTCTTTCGATTTCAAGACCAGTTGCAGTAATGAGTCCTTTTTGTTTAATCCTTATATAAAGGAAGGGTCTGGCGCCTTCGTTATTGACTCAGCATCAATAGCCCAGTTACTATCCATAAGATTTCTATCCACTTGATTTATCAAACTGATTATCCGAGATACGTAACGATTAATTTACGTACAGTATTTCCTCAAATGAAAATGGCGCTAGAGAAATGATTTAGTAGCTTAAGAAAAATAGCGTTATAAAGTGCTTTTGACGTTGATAAAAAGTTGGCCTGTAGAATCTGACTGGTGAACCTATCGATGCTAGAAATGAAAATCCTACTTGACAATGCACCATGAGTCGCCGACGATTATCCCCTATTTGTAATTCTAAAAATTCAAAGCCAGCTCACACATACGTCATTGTCATAATTTGCAAAGCACTCGGAAAGTAAAAAACCGGGGAAAGAGCGAACCCACGCTCTCTCGGATGTTAGCAAATGGTTCGGTGCCAATGATTGCCGTCCTCGCCGTCGTATATCGTTTCCTCTCAAACATGTTCGCACAGGCAACTATTCGTCACGCTTAATAAAGCCGCTAATCACACTCCTGACACGCGGCCTAAAAAAATAGCAAGACAGCGCGGAGGTAGGGCAACGTGGTTGAGAATAAAACAAAGTGCGGTGCGCGTCGTCGCACTAACATTCGCAAGACGTTACCTCCTTGATATTCATTTTCAGTGTCAGCTGTGTATACGAACCCACGTGAATTCTTCCAAGATCTTGTAAACCTGCGTCCCTAGAAAAGCCACGTGAAATCGATATACGCGCGCGCGCCCCAGACACGCGTAACGTGCAAAAGTACAACGAATCTCACAGACGCCCTTTCTGTGCTAAAGCCCCAAGAAGGAGAGAGAGAGATAGATAGAGAGAGAGAGAGAGAGAGAGAGAGAAAAGAAAGAGTAAGTGAGAGAGCGAGTGAAGATATACTATGAGCGTATAGCAGATGGAAGGGAAATAGGGAAGGTAGGGAGAAGCGGAAGGGATCTGGGGAATGAACGGTATGAAACGGGGGTAGCAAGCCGAGTCAGAAGATCGATACTCTGAAACTAAGAGAGAGAGAGAGAGAGGGAGAGAGAGAGAGAGAGAGAGAGAGAGAGAGAGAGAGATAGTAATCAAGCGAACGAGATCGAGAATTGAGAGAGTGAGAGAGGGTGACAAGCAAAGGGAGAAAGATGTATCGAAAAATGCAGAGATATCCGCGATGAAAGCGTAGTAAGGAAGCGTAGTAAGTCGAGCAGGAAAGTAAGATGGAGAAACTAGTCGCGTGAATCATTTTATTATACCGTAAGGAGTTAAGGGACGTTATAGTGTATAATTTTCGAATGCTCATTCGTCCCGACGTGAGAGTTATTTTACGTTTATTACACTAGAATAGTAATCATGGTTATAAATCTTTTAAAAAGAGATGATGACTCATTGGTTGTCTTGGAGTTGACGATGATAAAGTATCGATGAATAAAGACACTTAACATGGTAAATATTACATGCTTGAAAGTTAAAAAGCGATAAAATTTCTGTAGAAATATAATAAAAGATGATGATTTTTCTCAGTTTACATTTAAACAATGTATAAAATTATCATTACGAGCTCGAAACATTAATCTTATAATAGGAATACTGTTAATGTTTATCAGGAAACATTAATAATTTCGCACTTTCGTTGGCAATAATACAAGAGCACATTTTCGAAACAATGAAAGAGATATAATTCTGTCAGTCATCGAATGAAAAGAAATGGGGAAGACCAAAAAGTATAGAGAATTCAAAGAAATATAGAGAATGAAGCTTATCTTATGTTCATGAATATATAGTATGTGCGCGCGCGTATCCGAGTTCGTGTGTACGTATAATAATGGCAAACGAAAAATAGAGGCGTAGAAAAATAAGGGACGTGAAGAATTCTACTTCTAAGCTCGTCTGTTACCACCTCTGTCGATAATTCTTCCACAATCCTCCGTGCTATTGTTCAACGTTCTATTGGCCTTTTTCCTACGACAAATAATCAGTGTCGAGGTAAAGCTGAATTCATTATCAGTGCAAATTAGGACTTGGAAAAATTATTGAAATCTTTAGACGTTAAAATTGAAAGATAATTTTTAATACCATTGATTTAATAGTTTGAATTGGTTATTTAAAGAGAAGTTTGAATATTTTATCATTTGTAGCCGAATGCTTGGATAATGTTTATATTCTATATCATACGGCGCACTCTCCTTCTTTTAATTCTATAATTCTAAGCTTAGCTCTAATAAATAATAATGCAAGTCAAAGGTTTTCACTATCATTTAACAATATCGATCGTTCAAAACACTTATCATCTTATTGGTTATTGAAATGATTATTTTTTACGACACTTATGCTTGAACGTAAAACAATACTGTATTAATCGTTAAATTATGCTAAATATATATGTATCCCTTTATTGAGGAGTTGCATTGTACAGATTGCATATTAAGCACAAAAGAAGATAATTTTAATTTTATTTTATAGTATATTTGAAAATTAGTTTTAGCAAGTGCGACATCGAATAGAATGAGAAACATGTTCGACGAATGACTTGGAACGTTAAATTTTACTTGAAATATCGAAGTTGTCGGAACAAATTGCTTTTCTCCATTTTATTTTCGAGCTTGTCGGAAAATGAAATGTCACTGTTATTCGGAAATCGGCCTATTTTTCAAGTATTATTTAGGTAAAGTGAACATTTACTTCAAAAAAAAAAAAAAAAAAAATAGAAACATAAAGAAACCTTAAATAAATCACACTAGAATTACTTTTATTAGAACGACTTTACTTTTGATAAAGAAAAATATATATATTCAGATTGTGTATCTTCAACATATTTTTAGTAGAAGTAAAATAATAAATCTTCTATATATGAATTTATTACATTACTTTACATTAACATAAAACATATATACATTTTTATAATATAATAAATTAGAAATATTTAATATAACATATGATGGGAATTAATCAGCTGCTACCGCAATTGATCGACAGTTAATTATTAATCCTTTATGGATTTATTAATGTTTATTACGAGATTAAGGTCGATATACATTTGTATAAAATTTGATTACAGTTTAATTGTAATATTGAATTTTCAGCCTTATAAGGAGAAAAAATTAGTCTTTACCTTTAACAATTATGTACTTCAATCGAGTAAAGGGAAGAAATAAAGTTGTTTATATGGAAAAACTTGTGTAACAACTTTTCTCCTCTCTCATGATTAAATTCAACCAACGTTATTAAATATTTTTCGTAAAAGTTCAATTTCCCTTATTTCGTTTTATCTTTAATATATTTTAATATATTTATAAAAAGTGAGTTTTTCACGAACGATTATCCATCAAAAAATCAGCTTTAATATTGTAATAATAAATACGTCGTGTATTCAATAAATTTTATATTTAAATGTACTACTGCTTCGTTAGGGACATAAATATTGTAAAAGAAGATATTTTTTTATTATATATACGATATACGCATCTATGTGAGCAGTTAATAAATTATAAGCAATCCTAGTAATTCATAATAATATTAAGCTCTTAAACACTTGCAAAATATTTAATAATCTTGAATAATCTTTAATGAATATATACTTATAGACTTCTTACATAAAATCGGAAACATAAATCGTGTAATCTTATTAAGTGTAGCTGTTTGAAAATATATTTCTATTTGCAAATAATATTGACTTAATACTTATGCTATATGATTATTAAAAACTCATTTGTTTCTTAAACTAGCCATGTTTCGTAATAACATAGCCGGATTGATTTACGTATGTTGTCAGTTCCCCTGCCAACATTTTCTTTTCCTTTTAGCAGAATAAACTTAAATATGTTTTTCATTTTTTTTTCTTGCTTTTTTTTTTTTTTTTTTTTTTTGTTTGTTAATGTGCAAGTCTTGTTTTTCTTCAATTTATTCCATGTTTTGTCTCCCATATTTGCTAAATAAGCATTGGTATATATATATATATATATATATATATATATATATACACATAATTGCATGTGTTTAGAGGCGTTGAACGAGTTGCGAGTAAAAATTTGATAAATAATTAGTTACTTATGGAGGGGAGAATGAAAGAGAGAAAAATAGATGTAAGGACGCGAGAGCGAGAAAAATGAAGAGTAGTAGAGAATTTCCCATTTAAATTTCCCATTGCTCTAGAGGGAAGGAAGACGCACTTGTACGAGGGTCCGTGAGTAATGAATTTAAAGGGAGAAGAGAATGAGAGAGAGAGAGAGAGAGTGAGTGAAAAAAAGGGAAGAGTCGACTTGATGAGGGTGCTTCAACCCTTCTTTGTAATGCCCTTGTGTACAATTAGACCTGGACTCGAGGAGGATACGAAATTAGAAAATTTATTTATTTTCCTACATTGGATTGTGAATGAGGATCAAAAATTTCTACCAATTTTCTACTTCTGGAAATAAACACTCTCTTGAGGTACATTAAGTATCGTTTCACAAGACTTTTGCCCAAGTAAAAAGGGATTCTTAAGAATGTTTATTCAATTGAGGGAAAATCGTTAATAATTTCTTTATATTAACAATGTAGGAAATTATTTTGGAAATGATAAAGCAATCTAGTTTGCAATCATTTATAATTTATAGGCTAATAGAAAGTTGGTCAGCTACCGGGTAAATGAAAGTTATTCTACTAGGAAGTTCAATGTATAATACGGGCACTCTTATTCATATGAAGAATTTTATGCAAATAAAAAAAAGTCTCCTTATTTCGTATATGAAAATTTCAAATAAAAGAAAAAACATTAAAAATATATGGAAAAAGTAGGCGCTAATATTGAGAGGGAAAGCAAATGGAAGTATTTCCTTTCGGTGAAATGTGTAATATAAATTTCAAACATTAAATTTGCCGTTAAATAAATTTCGCAGAGCCCGTTTGCAGTAGCGAATAAGACGGGATAATTTTTCAATGAACTTTATCTTTTCGTCGAAAAATGAGAAACGCAAGCTCGTTCCACTTGAGAAACTTGGGAGAAATAGACACGCGAGCCGGCGAACGCCGAACCGAGACAAAATTTTTGTGCGTGGGTCCGTCTCCTTAAGGCGCGAGCGCACTTTCAGTTTTCTCGAAGCGAAGGTCTTTTTTTTATGACGCGAACGCATGAAATTCACATGGAAACGTAACGTTATTCGTGGCCTTTGCACGACTTACCGTCGTGGCCTCCCCTTTTCTACCCCCGTCCCCTCATAACCCCCCACGTTCCAAGTGATCCTTAACCATGCAAGACTGTGAAAAGTATTTATTTCATCCCCTTGATGAAATTAGAATCTGCTTCATTGATTATTTTCATGTTGTGTCGAGAAGATAATTTCAAACAAGAGAACAGTTTTTATTATTATTATTTATTTATTTATTTATTTATTTTTTTTTTTTTTTATATACATTCGCAGTATTTTATTAGTTATGAATATTGTCTCTGGATTATGAATAGCGTGGAATTGTAATAAATAATAGTGGCTAGAGTTATTTTGTCATGGAGAGTAGTCGATTGTATGCCATAATGATAATTAGAAAGATATTACAATGACTTTGTTGATTTAAACGGCGAATGAAATAATTGAAATTATTTTCAAATAGACACCAATAAATAGTACGGTATCCAGCTGTCGTACTTTCTAAACTTACCATAACTGGAGCCGTTTAATATCAAATAACAAATTTTTTTTTTCTCTCTCCTGCGCTAATGTAGGTGCGAATAAAGGAGTTCACACACGATCTATGCTAATAATCACAATGAAAGTTTGTATCGCGTGTTTGCATCATTGAGTGTAAAGCAATCAATTGTGCCATGCTAATCGACCGATTTTCACCCGAGTGTAGTAATTTTAAGTTAAGTGCAGTGAGTTAATGAGCTTACGGCCGCAATCGTGCTACAGCCGTGTCAACTAATCATTTCACAAGAGCAATATGATAAATGTATGTCACATTAAGTCGAAATAAATCTGCTAATAAATGAAGATGACTTTAATAGTTGTTCCGGAGAGATTACTCCTCGTCGATCGTAGACAAAGCTCATTGGCAATTCGGACGGCGTTTCTCCACGTATGGCTGGAGTCCCGTCAACTTTATGCGTTAGCACTTTTCTGCGAACGTGAGGCCAACTATTCTACGCACATTTACATAATAATATTAAATTCCGTCTCCATAAAAAAAAAAAAAAAAAAAAAAAAAAAAAAAAAAAAAACAATGAAATAAAAGTGCGGGTGGGACGGTGTGGGTCGTGGTGGGGCGGGGTGAAAAAGAGGTGAAAAAGTAATGGTAAAAAAAGGGACGAAATGTGCCGACGATGTGACGATGTGTAGTTAAAAAAGAATATTCTCTTTGACGATGACATTCGCTGCGTGCTCAATGCGATTTGAAACAACGTTGAAAAAACATTAAGCCTGAGTGCAAATGAAAAATGTACATCCAGTTAGGATTCTTCGTTTTTTGTTGTCGAGGAGAGGTAACGCCAAGTTTATCAAATACCCTAAAAGAATGAAAAATGCTTAAGCGGCTTAAGCACTTTTGTTGTAACGATGTAATAATTATTTAATAGAAACGCGCCTAATAATTAATTATTGCCCCGCTCACTACAATAAGCCTATTTTAAATTAAAAATTTTTAATTTATTTTATCGTTCGCTAAGCCCACTTCTCGATCATAACTAAACGCGTCAATATTACTTCACGCGCCATTTAACCAATTCACCGAGCGCATCCCTATTATATAATTTAATAATTGCTTATAATTCCAAGACAATTATTATCGTCGCTCGGCAATTACTTCGGGTGCAGGATATTTATGAGCGAATGAGTGAGCTGCGGTCGCGCAATGATTTGATAAACCTCGGTCGGCGTTGCTCTCGGAGAAGCATCCTATCGCTCTAAATCCAGGTTACGTGACGGCCTGTAGAAAGCAGCAGCCGGAGATGGACGACAACGAGATCCAATCGACCGTGGAGTCGATCCTCGGGCCCGACGTCAAGATCATCGACTGCGAGAAAAAGTCGTGCGTGAAGGAGGAGGAGGTGCTACTCATAAACGGCGTACCCATAACCCTCGACGAGCCCGACGGCATCGCCATACGCGAGGCCATGATAACCGGGCAGGTGCCGCCTTGCGACCTCCTCAATCGCATCCTCATACGCGCTGGGATACAGAGGTACGTCAATCCGAGCGAATTCCAAACATAATGTAAGTTCGTGGCCGCGGTTCGTCATTATTCCTTGACTTAATCATATAGCCTTGTGTGATATCTCGGGCTTTCTAAATTCGAGCCCAGGCAAATTCACTTGATTCATCGTGTATTTCATAGGCGACCGACCTTAGCGTCGATATCGCGTTTAGAGGAGTATTCTCTATGACGGTGTCACGAGCTCACCAGCTCCGTTACTCAAAACACGATACGGCGAAATAATTAATAAAAAGTTTTACTCTTCTCTTCATTATCAATAATGTAGATGAGAATAATCTGGATTTTCACACTGTTGAAGCTCTGGGCCGTGAAATCTATCGGTATCGATCGGATAGAGATGGCTTATTTGCACATTGTGGAGCCACATTGTGTACGATTAAAGTCTTGATAAAGTTATAATGGCGATTTCCCGCTAACAACAATGCCCCCGCGGGGAGCCTCGTGTAAACGGACGGGGAGCGGTCAATATTCGCGAAAGAAACTTTCTCCGTCGAGTAATCGCGAAAGGAAGGACAGACGAGGAAGACGCGTAAGGGCCGACCTTGCGCTTAGCCACGCGGCTCCATTAATAATTATCAAATTGATCGATAACCTCTGGCTGTAGGTCCTCTAGGATCGCAACGGAGACATCGCGGTAAGATCGCTCGCCTCGTTCGCGCCCGGATTGCTAATCTCGCACGTTGGACTGTAAAACCGGCGCGGGACAAGGAGGGGGATGAAGAGTCAGACGTCGACCTCCACGGAGCCACGCGCTCGTCGCATTCACTCGGAACGCGAGTCGCATCGTTAAAAGGCCGCCGTCGATCTTGGGTGTAGTAGTAGTCCACATGTAAATATAGGCGTTATTTTTAGCACCTCGCTGTCCTTAACCCACCCTTCGTTCGCATCGTTTACCTGCTTATCGACGAACGCCATTTTAAGTGCCTGTGATTAAAAGAGCGAATTTATCTGTTTAACCGAGTTGGCGATAAGCCGTTTAGGGCCACAATAATAAGCATATTAACGTTGCAATGGTATTGCCTGTGCGTTGCTTTGAATTATTGATTTATCACCGTAATTCGTCACTTTGCATTATTAAGTCGTTTTGGGATGAGACGCTCGAGATCATTTGCCGATTGATTTATCTTATCGTAGATTGTCATTCGGCCACTGCTTGGCTTTGCCACCTGCCCTTATAAACTGCCCTTTTTAAATTAATTTAAAGCCAATTCACATTAAAAGTTGTCCGTACTTTGTAATGAACGTAAATGCACGGCACTTGGGCCGATGTTTCATTCGAGCTGTAATATTGGCAATAATGGCATCGAGGCGATCGGCCCCTTAAATTCATGCTCGATTTGTTTGAGAAAGCAGCGCGCGTAATCGCGAGCGTCCATATGCGCGCGCACAGACGTCTGGCAAACAACCAGGAAACAATTCTCCAGTGCTAGGCGAACTTTCGTTCTGCCGACCCTCGCCTTATCGCGCTGTCTCCTCCTTGCCCCAAGTGCATTCCGAATCGCGGAACAATTCGAGAAGTAAGGCGCTCGCTTCAACACAACACGGGCCGCTCTATTCTCGCGTTCGAGGTAGCTCCGAAAAATGGCAAAATAGCATGGCCGACGGTGATATACGCTGAGAGAGTGAGTGAGAGAGAGAGAGAGATAGGGATAGGGATAGAGAGAGAGAGAGAGAGAGAGAGAGAGAGAGAGAGAGAGAGAAAAGGAGCGGGAAGAAGGATCGAGGTGATTGTAGAAGATTCCGGATCATAAAATAAAATGAGAATTGGGGATCGGACGGAAATGCGAGCGCCAATGTGAATAAACGCGTGAAATGGTAGGAGATGGGAAGGGGGTAGGGGAATGAAGGGAGGGGAGCCCAGTGACTGAACAATGGATCGTCGATGAGTTGTTGTAAATTTAATTTCTTAGCTTGGAATCTTCACTTTAGAACTTTATCTCTTTGACACTTTATTAATTTATTGAGTTTCAACGGTGCATTGAGCGACCATGTGCATTATACATTAGTAGTCAAGATTACCGTGTAACGTACTTTCTTTTGTAAGAAAATTACATTGTCAGGTCGTAATTTGAAATACGAATTCTAATTTTGATAATAATATGGAAATTAACTTCCGGAATTATTGATATTATTAATACTAAAAAAAATACTAAAGAAAAAGAAAAAGTGCTAGGGTACTTAATTAGTTAAAAGAAGAAATAAATTAAATAAAAGAAGAAACATAAAAGACAGAGAGAGAGAGAGGT